CTGTCTTGGCTAGAATTACGACCCTACGAAATCGTCTGACGGTAGTTTTGGTTTCCGGAGCTGGGGTGTTCCTTTTCCCCTCTGACCTCCAGGCGGATCCGCATAGTGACTAACAATAAATAAAAAGACGTGATTTAAAGGCAAGTAACGGAAGTTGAAAAGCCGAAATTGGTACGTTTTCGGGTAGCCACGCACAGGAGCCTACCTGCGTAGAGGCATTAAGGGCATTTTTTCCCGGAAGTTGCGACTGAAGGAGGCTTTATTCCAGATGTTTCCGAGGAATTTGCCAATTACGCCATGGGTGGTAATGCTGGAATAGTGTGTGGGTTCTGGGACGTCCTTACCTTCAACGGCGACAGAAGGCGGCTTGGGGTCTTAAGGGGCAACTGGGTGTCGTATTCCATGGGTCCGATCAATGACTCTTAACTGGGTTCGCATGAATACTGTTCGGCGTCGTGCAACAGAGTTTTTTTACAAGACGGCGATGGGTGCCGCGTCTACTCACCAGGTGAGAAGGTATGCTCTGTTGCTCAAAACTGGCAGCGTAGAGTAGATTCGATAATTCACGAAACGTCCACACAAATTCTGGGCTGTTTTTTCGATTTGAACATGATAATTAAGTACGGTTGTAAAACTCACTACCGTACAGCCAATGCATTTTTCACCAAATCATAGCTGATCACTTTACATCTGTAAACGATCACTGCTTGACATTTTCTAGGATATTGATGCTTTTTTCAGTTATTGTGTCACTAAGATGGAGCTCAAAGGCGTTTGCCAAAATTTCCCTGAATAAAAATGAACCGAACTCAGCTGTCAGTCACGGAATTTCCTCCACCGCTTTGAGTGGACTGGCGGCGTAGGGCAAAACTCTCGTTCTGGGTTCAAGACGACGTCAAGTACCCCATCCTCTGGGGAATTATTCACTGAACTGATGGGCGGGGGGTAGATAAGGGCAGAATTCAGCAATAATCAAATTAAGATAGTAATTCTACACGCATTAGCCTTCCATTCTTCCAGTCAAACAATCAATTGTACAGTTTATTGATTTTTTTAACGATTTGGTGACAAAATTGATCCAATCATGCAGCTTTATTAGGCCTAGGTCTTTTAAGAGCATATAGTCTACACCTGAAGGAGAGGGGGTGGAAGGAAAATGTCGTCGTCGCAACATCTGTGGCTCTCGAAGCGATGCAAATTGCCGTGTAGGGTTGGGGCAGAACAAAACGTTAGTACTGCTGAATCAGGATGCTGTCACGCATTCCAGCCACCTGGACCTCGTCAATGTGAAGCGTGTGCGACTTGTTGGCTATTTCCTCCTCCAAGTCAAGCTGGCGTCGGCAGAGGGCCTTCAAAGCTTCTTCAGCCTTGTAGAGACGGTCGTGAAGTAGTTTTGAATCCTGACGTAGTTCCGTGGTTTGTTCGATAATCCTATTGATAGAAGAACGAGAAACCTTACTATTATTATACTACTCGTGCTAAGTGAGTAGCCATGTATAATTACTTTTACACATAACCCACAACTATTCGCATTTCACCTGCAGGCATAGAATTGACATATTTTTTAAATTGTTTTTTGTATCGATGTATATCCCTTTTAATAAAAATGAACTGAAAAAGAAACGGTTGAATTATGCTAGGCACTTGTGAAAGGAAATGAAAATTGCTAATGATATCCTCAGGATCCTCCTGCCCAGCGAAAGTAATGGTTGGTGTAATTCAAGTGCGTGTCATACTGAGTCCTAACACAAGTAGGTGTAATTATCATCTTCGTTAGTTTCAGCGTCTTAAAGCTTGGAATGGGACAGTTAGCGTGTATTATCATCCAGTGTGAGGCCAAGACTTAAAATATATAACCAGAACTGAGGTTCTGATGACTACAGGCAAAGGTTGTGATCGAAACTGGAATACTTCTCAAGGACGTGGTCTCCATGGCACGCTCAGAATGTTGAGGCTTTGAAAAAAAACTCGGTCAGGTAAATAAGATACCTTCAGTCCTTGAAAGTCTACCTCTAAACCTCTAGCAGAACGTCTTAGAAAGATCTAATTTTACGTGCTGCAGCAGTGACGACTTTTTGCAGGCCTCGTTATAGCATCCAAGTCCAGTCTGTAGGCTGGAATATTCATTATGCACGAAGGTTCTGTGGACACCCCAAATGGTTACCATAAGTCTTACAGTTAACAGTTTGGAACCCCTCCAGCTTATTGTGTTTTGTGGAGTTGCAGAATGGGGGTCAGGCTGCAATGTTTCCTTATTATTGTGGCTTTTATGGCATTCCAAATCAGCTCAGAGCAGAGCAGATCTCTCCCCTGCCTCTTTTGTGTGATCCTC